GCTGCGACCGACCAAACGACAGCCATGGCCCCCCGTTGCCTGGCGCGCGCCCTCGTTGCCCTTGTCGCGGTGCTGGTGGCCGCGCACGCCGCCTCGGCTATACCCATGCGCGAGACGGCGCCGTGGACGTTGCTGCTGTGCAAGCTGAAGGACAACGACCGCGAACCGAAGTCCAGCGCTTGGTTCAAGGAGTGGTTCAACAACGACAGCAAGGAAGGGTCGGTGACTCAGTTCTTCAGGGACGTGTCCAACGGCATGTACACGGTGTACGCGGCCGAGACGTACGGCTGGTTCAAGGTGCCATTCGACAAGGCGGAGGTACGTCGCCTGGCCCTGGCCGACCACACGTTGGGCGATATCAACGACGTGGACCGCAAAACGGCTCTGAAGACCAAGGAGTTGTGCACGATGTTCGCCCGCTTCTACTTCGGCATCAAACTCAGTAGCCGGGCGATTACCTTCACGAACAGTCAGAACATCGCCCTGTTCTGTCGTCAGCGCGGCATACTGATTTCGACCAGCTATTTCATGACGTCGGCTCTGACGCACGAGATGTGCCACAGCTTCCACGTCGGTCACTCATTCAGCAACCGCAACGTCAAGGTGTACCCGCACGCTGATGTCGGAGAGTACGACGACCTGTACGACCTGATGAGCACCAGCAACGCGTTCAGCTACTGGTCGCAGTACGGTTCGACCGGCCCAGGCCTGAACGGTCCTCATCTCGACTACCTCGGCTGGCTACCGTCCAACCGCGTACTATTCTTCAACGCCGCCAAATCTTCCTTCCCACAGACGCTCCATCTGGCATCGCTCAGGTAGAGAGTTGTTTTCTTAAACTATTGACTGACTACTCGCTATCTGTGGGCCATCGTTAGCCGGCGGAGCAGGATTTCGTTGTAGACAAGCAAATCTTAAAGCCCACAAGTATACTGGTTCACTGCATTCCACTGGGTACTTTAGAGGTATATGTCCTGAAGTACAGCTTCCTGTTTACTCGTCAAATTAGACACCGTTTTACACGGTTACTCGATGTCACAACATATGGTCATAATACAAGATTTACCAACGCTGCGCTTTAACATGATTTTAAATTTAGCTTGACCTTGACCTTTACACGTTTATGAAATTAAGTATTTTTCTCCTCTCGTATGAGTGGATGCACATGTCCAGATTTTTCAACATGCTGATATCCCAATTATAGCATCGGTAAAGGACAAATAGGAAAATCCTTATTGCTAGAGGGAGGCAGTTTCCCGTTTCAAGGTTAATGAAAATGCCGTCAGACCACACAATCCGCATTTTTAATCCATTCGCTACGTTTTTTGTTAACTTTATTACAGCGTATCCGTTGCTCATTGCAAAAAGTTCCATTCTTATATAGGGAGTGCTTAACAGCATTGGCCAAGGAAACGTTCAGACAGATTCTTCATCGTTATACATTTTATACTACGGTATCACGTGCTAGCCACAGACCCTTCTTTGTCACACGTCACCAGCTGATGAGCCAGTGACATTTATTTGTTTCTTTTCCACAGATAATCGATCCGTGCCAGTGTGTCTTTCCTACTTCCTTGTACCCCGAGAATTAACCTGAATACTCACCTGAATACTCTGCCGTTTCTGATACTAATTTCGTCTTCAGCATGTGCGTTGACCGTCACTGTTTCAGGTCACGTGTTTATGGCAGCGGTAGGTAGACGCATCTGCTATGCAGCAGTTCAGAGAATGGCTATGACAATAATGAGTGCAGAGGAAACATACAGCACATAAATGAATTGAAGAGAAACCCATTTCACAAAGGAACCATGAATGCACGTGGTCTCCGATTCATTGTTAAAATATCTATAATACTTCTACGTAATGGTTACACGATTCTTATAACGTATTCCGTT